TCAATAATTTCTACCAGTTGTGCACAGAGGCACATGGGAAGATAAACCCTAAAATTTATATGCATTGCTGTATTTGGCAGACGGAATAATAACTCTCTTTACTACTCAGTACTCTAATGAGGACGTTGAAGCATGCTGTACGTAATTGAAGGAGGATGGTAAATGGTAACTATCATTGCTATAATATTATCATTTTCTTCATTCCATTTTTATCTTCTTTTCACTATGTCTTTATAGTGAGTAGGGCAATTTTCTGACAATTTAGCCATAATTGAAAGGGTAAGAAATTGAATTGAAGGCAGTTTTCAGCCACCTAATTTATATTAGAGAAAGCAAAGTTTGGAGGCCCCTCTTCTTCTTCATGGAAAATAAGATAAAAATGAGTTTGAGTCCTAGCATCCGTGTAGTGTGTGTGAGTTTAGTATGTTATTGACTCTCTCATTAGGAAATGTCCTTAAAAAAAATTGGAAGAGGAAACAATAAAATAATTGCCAATGGGCTCCCACCACAGTGGTGGTGGATTCCCCCTTCCCCATGGCACCAAGATTGAACCCCAGTGGGGTTTCTTTACTCAAATGTAACAACAACAAAAAAATATGTAGTCATATACATATTCTTAACACTAATGATATAGATAAACCCTACACCATTTAATTTCTATAAACAAACCCAAAATATGACAGTTGGTCCTTGAATTTCATTTAGATTATTAAATTACTTTGATGCTTTATAGAGTGGTTTGGGTTTTTTATGAGGTTTTGGGGTTGGGCTTGTTTTAAGAAATCGATGGCAGTTTTGTAATTTACAAGAAGTTAAAAGCCTCTTCGTTATGTTGTAAATTGGCTTTGGGTGTATGTCTAAAGTCCATTTCATATAAGGTATTTTTATAAGGACATTGCTTGGCTCCTGATGCATCAGGAGCCTTTCCTCCTCCACATACTATGTGGCCACTTTACAAAAAGACACATGTTTGTTTGTTTTGTTTTTGTTTTTTTTGCTTTTTGTTTCTTTCAACTCTCTAACCCATGGCTGGTTTTAGCTTAACTCAAGCCTCCTCAACACTCCAACTACTTTAAACTCCCAGATCCTTGCTTATAATAAACTTATGTTGATAAATAAATAAAAGGTATTTAATTTGTTATATAATTTTCTCTTCTCCTTGCAAGCTATCTGGTTTTCATATTTTTTTGCTAAAGTTAATTGGTTGTATAGGTTGCATCCAACCTGTTCCAAGAAAATAAATAAATAAATAAAAAAGCTTTTCATTAAACCATTTCGTTGTCACCCATTAAGCAACGATAGCACATATACAACTTTTATCCTTCAAGTCAATGATGTTGCACAATCAAAAAACAAAATGTGCAATCCCTATTAACCCATGTGCTGCACAAAATGTACAAGTATGATATCCTTTGATATGTTGCACAACCCAACAAAAAACTTGTGCAATCTTCATATGTTAAATATTTCATCGCTGCACTACCCAAAAAATATCCAGCAAAAAGATCTTGCTCAACTTCCCAATTCTTGGTCTTCTGAAAAAGCATCAATATGTACTTGTTCCTACAAAGTATCCAAGCTTCAAGTTAATAAGGTAAATTTAGCAAAGAAATAGTAACATCATGAATATACCTACATGAAGTAGTTGGGTGAAAGAAATTTTGTCTTGCCAACTTGTCATCATATTAGAGCTTTCCACCGTTGAAAATGGCATGTAGGTTCCATTTTCCATACAAGGTTCCTATTAGAGGCATAAGGAAAAATAGAAGTTTAAATCAATTATTTATATGCAAACTGAAACTGATAAGGTAATTTCCTTGAAGAGGAAATGCTTGAACCTCATGTCCAACAATCTGTTGCACTTGTGAACCTCCACTTGCGAAATCAATTTCCTACAAACAGGTTTTTGACAGAAAAAAAAACAAAAAATTTCATAAGTGGTGTATAAAGTACTATGCACTTAGTATATTCACAATGTCAGTATGTATGGAGTTACCTGCATTGTTATTTGTCGTCTTGCAGAAGCTTTTGTTGATGTTTTCTTTCTTTTTCGTTCAAGGGGGTCCTTCAATCGATTGCGTGGGCGTCCAACTGTAGCCTTTCTTTTAACTCCAATTACAATTGGTGTAGCAGAATTAGTTTGCTTAACGACTCTGTCAATCCTAAGCATCATCAGAATTAGTAGCAGAATTATTTTTCAGCATCATCAGCATGTGCTTTTTGAGCCTTAGACATACATCTATTAATCCTAAGCATATGCTTCATTGGTGTTCTAATCAAAGCATGATTATGGGTTCCTTTAAACGATGTAACCTTAAAACTCCCATTTTTTTTAAGTAAGCAAGTTATATGTGCTTCACAACCCACCCTTGATATTGGTTGAGAATAAGATACTTTTTCACATCGTTTGTCATATCTTCGATGACCTTCTTTTGAACAACAATAAGTTACCCGTGTCACAATACCCAATTTGTTTTTCCTCCAATGTTGTTTTCTCACACTAAAACCTCTTTCACCACCATACTGTACATAAAACTTATATGCACTCTCATGAGAACTAAACTCCCTACTAAGCAAATCATCCTCAATTTTCTCTTGATTATTCTTATTCAATTCATCCAGATCATTAGTAGGTGAAAAATGAGTAAATGGATCGGATTTGTCCTCACCTTGCAAATCAACGTTGACATCACTGGATAACATATTGCTTAGTCTTGGAAACTCTTGAATCTCCATCCACCTACAATATTGCCACTACCAATTAGAACCACTGGATCATATTTAGAAGTTAAAATCATTTAAGAAAATAGAAACCACAAAAACAAAACAAAAAAAAGATCACAACTTGGTTTAGACATTTCTTCAAACAGGTTGGCTGCAACTTATAACCATTTATTTCACCCAAATTAAAAGCCTTGTTAGCTTACAAGGAGAAAAGAGAAGATTATATTACAAATCAAATAGATGTTTTTATATATTTATCAACATAAGTTCATTACAAGTATACTACTTTGATAAACCATATAAACATAAGAAACCCACTCATCGGAAGTGGTCAAGAAAAACAACCCCCAAATATGAAGAATCTGCCATGTATAGGAATTATGAAAACTAAAATTCCAAAATTAAGAAAGGGAAACAAGTTCGCCTGAAATTTACGTTGTCGATGATCGGAGATTTACGTGGTTGATGGTTTGAGGTTTACGTTGCTGGAGCTCTCTCTGAGAGAAGAGTGTGACCTGAGTTAAAAGGGCTTGGGTTAGAAGAGTTGAAAAGAGTTGGGAAAAAAATAAATAAAAAACAGGTGTCTTTTTGTAAAGAGGCCACATCGCATGTGGAGGAGGAAAGGCTCCTGATGTATCAGGAGCCAAGCAACGTCCTTTTTATAATTTGAACTCTTATATTGGCAATCTCCAAAAAATAATTGAAGCGCATATTGGGTGCATGGCTTAGCCTTTTCTCACTTATGGCAGCAAACAATGCGGGAAATGGCTGCTAAAGATGTCAAACAAAACAGATATCCAAGGAAATACAAACAAGACGAGACTACGAGCCCAAACTAATATTGAGACATTCTTTTGGGCCTGGCGAGCACTCACTCTTATATCATAAATAGTAATTTTATTTTAGTCAAATTTTAGTTTTTGCATGAACTACTTCTTACTTTGAATTCTGTAGTTTTAATTTTAGGGTCAATTCGAAGTACCAGTTCTTCTTTCTTCTAAAAACAGTATTTTTATAAGTTTTATTTATATTTATTTAATTTTAGGTACTATGCAGGTGAGTCAAATTAGTTTGAGGTAAAAAAATTTGTTGAAGCTGGAGTTCTTTTGCTGTTGTCATCAATCAATTGATTGTTGGACCTAATTGAGGGCTCGTTTGGGACTACTTTTTTAGGAAGTACTTTTGTTCATAAGCGTTTCTAATAAAAGCGCTTTTATTATAAAAATTTTGAATTTTCATAAAAAATTAAAGTGCTTTGTGGAAAAGCACTTGGGAGTGCTTCTTCAAGAAGCACATAGTGGTTCTCCAGGAAACGCTTCTAAACTTTTATGCCAAATGCTGTCAGAAGCGTTTTTAGTTATCAGAAAACGTTTTTGGCTCTTCTAGAAGCACTCCCAAACAGACCATGAATATGATATGTATTTGCAATTTCATTCACCTTTTTTTCAACTCAATTCACCGGTTCAAATGCCCATCCCTATTGAATAGGATTATGAAAGTCTGGCTATCTTTTATCATCTCCAAAGAGATTCAAAACATATAGTAAACGCTAATTAGTCATAAATATAATTAGACTTGCTCAACAGAAACAATGCTTGAATTATTTTAACCAAAAAATCAACTTTAAACGAGTCTGATGTGTGGACGTGACCAACATTCTTTAAAACCAAAGTAGGATTTAATTTTCTCCAATATCTCAATATATATATGTTACCTACACCATGCAATTGTTCTTTTTCTTTTGCTAAAAGTCACTAATCAAATCAAACTCAAAAGTCATATTATGAAGTTGTAGTATATATAATAAACGCTCACGCAGAATTGACAACTATTGCCACAATCATACCAAACATGTCTCAGTCTTTTTTCTTTTTTTTTTGTATTTGTTATTTTTTTTTTCAAAAGACATGTTACTTTTATAAAAATAGTGTTTGTACATGCATGCATCATACATGTAACATGTCTTAGTTACCCAACATTGGAAATGTGTGACCAAACACCTCCTTAGAGAAATATCAGTGTTAGTAGAGTCACAGTTTCGACAAATTTCTTTTTGGGGAGTGCTAGCAACCTTCTCTCTAACCTTCTCTTTTGGACCTTCTCCCTTCTTCTCATGACAAGTGTCACTTTCTTTACACTTAAAACAATGTCATTAATGCATCACACAAACTAGTTTTTGTTTTCCAAGTTTACCCTTATTAAATGTATTAATT